GCTCGGAAAACAAAATAAAAGAGGAAAACCGCTGGCAATTTTTCACTAGCTTTTTAAAGCGCGGCTTAGGTACTCCTGGAAGCGAGTTTCGAATCGATTTTTCCAGGAGAGACCCATTTTTCCTGGCGTCTCCTTGTGCCAAGCGATGCGAACTGTACCTACTTCCAGCTGTTTCGCCGTCGAACACGAATGTCACGCTAAGTTCGGATTTTAGATAGAAGCGTACGATCTTGGAACTTACCGCTGGATTTTCCTGTCAAACGAATGCTTTTCGAGATACGCGGGGATTTCGGAGATTAAGAGTACCCGGGGAAATGTCAGGGTTTAAACGAGCATGCTCTTCTTTTCCTCCTTTTGACGGAGAAACACGTATGAAAGCCCTATTTCACGATCCGGACACGCGTATCCGGATATATACGCGCATTATTCGAGATTAGTGCTTTTAATCCTCTTAAGGCTACTCTCATTATTTTGTCGCAGTGCCCGGATTTATGCTGTGTACAGCTAACGCCGACGTTTTATTTCATCTACGCGGATTAATTTCGGAATTCCGCGAGACGCGCGACATGTGCATCTGGAGGGATATCGATATTTCTGAGCAATGCTCGGGAAACGGTTCATTTTATCGACGGAAAATCCTGTTAGCGCACTCCACGCGAACCCTCGATTTCCAGTAACGCTCCTCGCCCTCGACTCTTGCGCTAATCGCGTTAAACGTACGATTTTATACTGCGATGGCTAATAGACAAAAATCGTACATACATCTGATGCATTTAAATCTTATTCTTTAAAAAAAAAAAACGTTCTTTCGTTAATACGAATCGATTTTTCCTCGTTTGTAATTGGGAGGATATTTTAGCAAAATATTCGCGTACATACTTGCTACTTTATATAATCATTTCATAAATCAAACCCAGACCTAACCCAAACCTAACCTAACGCAACAGACAAAAATCGTATATGCATTTAAATCTTATTCAAATATTATTCTTTTTTTTAAAAAAAACACGTTCTTTCGTTAATATGAATCGATTTTTCCTCGTTTGTAATTGGGAGGATATTTTAGCAAAATATTCGCGTACATACTTGTTACTTTATATAATTATTTCATAAATCAAACCCAGACCTAACCCAAACCTAACCTAACGCAACAGACAAAAATCGTATATGCATTTAAATCTTATTCAAATATTATTCTTTTTTTAAAAAAACACGTTCTTTCATTAATACGAATTGATTTCACCTCGTTCGTAATTGGAAGGATATTTTAACATGGAAAATATTCGCATACATACTTGTTACTTCATTTAATTATTTCATAAATTCAGCTTTCATAATCCCAATTTTTAACCGTTGTCAACTTCAATGTAATCTGTAGTTGAAACATAAAATTGTATATAAAGCGTAATAGAGACGTAAAATAAATTAGTTACTATTTAATGTTTTTTTAAATTTGTTAATTGTAGTTGAGAGTATTGAGGATTATATTTACATGACTTTATATAATCATTTCATAAATCAAACCCAGACCTAACCCAAACCTAACCTAACGCAATAGGCAAAAATCGTATATGCATTTGATGCATTTCAATCTTACTCAAATATTATTCTTTTTTTAAAAAAAACACGTTCTTTCATTAATACGAATCGATTTTTCCTCCTTCATAATTGGAATAGTATTTTAACATGGATAATATTCGCGTACATACTTGTTACTTCATTTAATTATTTCATAAATTCAGCTTTCATAATCCCAATTTTTAACCTTGTCAACTTCAATGTAATCTGTAGTTGAAAAATAAAATTGTATAAAAAGAATGATGGAAATGACAATCAGGTGATATTCATCGAAGTATTTGATTGTCACGAGATTTTGTAAATTCTGGTTGAAAAACATAAATCAGCTACCATTTGATATTTTACAAATTTGTTGATTGCAACCGAGAAAATTGATTATATTTACGAACACGTTGCCAACAATGAGTTACCAATTTTATAAGATACAAATCGAGGCTGGACACGTTCAATCATAATGGAAAGGTTCTTAAAATAAAAGCACCAGATAAGAGGGGTATTCGAGGTGTGGTCGAACTAACGTGATATATAGTAGTATGATAGCGGATATGTTTTCAAAATGATGAGATACGACGATAATAAACTCCAAAACCTTTCGAACTCTATTAAAACCCCTAATTTAATTTTTCAAATAAAATATCATTATTAGAACTTGTTTCTTAAACGTTAAAATTTTATGTTTAACTTTCGACACTGTTTGATATTTTTCAGAAAAACAGAAGTGAACTTATAATATCATTATAAATATCATAAATATCAATATAAGAACTTGATTTTTATAATATCATATAATTATATAACTTATAACACTTATAATGATATTGTAAGTTCACTTCTGTTTTTCTAAAAAATATCAAGCAGTGTCGAAAGTTGAACATAAAAATTTTCATAATGAGTCGTCTCCAACGATCAGTATATTTTACAATACGAGGGGTAAATAATAATTAGATGCAAAAGTAATCAGGTTGAAAATAATAAGCAGGTGAACTTAACGCATCGAAACGGTTTTTGCGCGGTTCGTTTTACGAACGTGAAATTTTCGATCAATATGCGACTGGCAACGTTGAAATATCAGGTAACGGTTAATATCATTTATGATTCTGCCATGAAATCCCAGGTGAAATACATTTTGCGGGGACGCGATAACAAAATACACATACACTTTGATGTATGTGATTTTACGAATGAAAGCGCGACGAATACTTAAACTGGCGCCTGCGTACGAGAAAAATATCTCACGTTGCGATGATAAATTAAACGTATGCGACATCGACGTTCGTATGAATTTATGCTCGAAACACGGGCGTGCGATTTGTTTTATTCCCGTATCATTCATCGCTCGGAACGACCGTCGGTCGGATCAATGATTCGAATTCGTTAAATGTATGCACCGAGAACTTTTTATTCCCCATTAAACTGTACTGCAGTTACAACTCTCCTGGTCGTCAAATTTCACCGTTCGGTTTGAAATTTCGCGGAAATAGGTTTACACCATTTCCTTCCGATGAATTAATCCTCTCACGGAATCGACTTCGCGTCGTTACGAAGACCGTAAAAGATAACGAAATTGCATCTTGAATTCGCCTAACAGCCAATCAAAAGAACGCGATCACCTTTTATCGGTATTCCCTCGAAAACTTTTATATAAAACTCCGATTTTACGAAGATTCTAACGCCCCCGATATAATTTCTTTCCTCGAATATAAGGGCGTCAAATATACAAGGAATTATTTTTTTTAACACTGAAACAAATAAAGTCACCTACGAATGACCTCGAAAAAATCGGTAGGAAATTTTGTGCCTTTTTTTTAGTTTTTCAAGATATGTTACGAATCGACACGACGACTAAGAGTATTATCGGTTGTGGATCTATCGATCAGTGCATGGAAAGGAGGCATCCACGATTTGTAAGTTAGACGGGTCACGAAAAGATAAACAATATTATAGTCCGCGACGTTGCATCGTGGAGCATCGAGTGATGGCGACTCGTAAAAGATCGTAACTCGAGGAACCGGTTCGAGTCGTTAAAGCGGCAATAAACCCGCAAAATCTGCACGGTTAATAAAACGAAATATTCAGATTTTGCTTCGAAAGCGTTTCCTTCGGGCTGGATTAGACGAATTTAATACGAATGCTATCACTTTCCCCCGAGAAAGGGATGAAACATGGCCGATAGTAAAATCCATACAAAATATAGAACCTTCTGACAATTTTTAAAAATGTTATTTAACGAAATTTTAATCTCGTAAGTACGAGGTAATCAACGATAAAGTTTAATATTTGTATAAAGATAATGAATAATAAATTCCATCCCTCGACAGTTCAGATGACCAAGTTCGATAGAAATCGTTACTGCAATAGTAAACATAGGGAATATTGTTATTATAATAGTACAATCTTTGTAAATTATAGAATCTTTTGACAATTTTTAACAATTTTTAACAATTTTTCTTTAATTTTTTTTTCAATTTTAACAATTTTTAATTATTTTCTTTTAACAATTTTCTTTAATAATAAATTTCATCTCTCGATAGTTCAGACGAACAAGTTTGATAGAAATCGTTACTGCTATAGTAAACATTTAGAATATTGTTATTACTAGACTGCGGATGTTTATGCATTTATGCGAAATTCTAATTTTCAAAAAACTACAGAATTTAGTTAATATGCAAGAATATAAGAAATACTTAAAGTAAGGTACGAATTATTATATCTAGGGGTAGAGACAACCCTCTGCAAAGCTCCAATTTCATTAATTTTCATAAATAAAAATATGAATTTGCATGAAGATCCGCAGTCTAGTTATTACAATAGGAAAATACTTATGATGTATAGAACCTTCTGACAATTTTAAAAAATTTACTTTGTCGAAATTTTAACACTAGATTTACGAAAGCCGTCAATTTGACGGATGTCAGATTCCATATTTAAAATTGCAGAACACGTAAATATTATTTTTCAACAACTTATGTTGAATCTGAATGACGTAATGGCATGAATACATATTCTAATTGAAAGAGAAATCGTATTTTAAGGCAATCGTCAACATGAAAGGTGTCAATAAATATACGTGCGATCAATGCCTGTAAATCTAGTATTAATCTCGTACGAGGTAGTCAACGATAAAGTGCTAAAAATAAAGTCAGAATTAACAAATTCTTGTCGATGAACAAGTTTAATAGAGATCGTTACCGTGATTCCAACTTACAAGAACAATAAAACTAGCAAAACGACTCACTGGTCTCGTTTGAATCGTGGTACAAGAGAAATCGAGACTCGACCGCCGGAGCTATTCAACCACAGCACGGTTAGTTAACATTGCATGCAGGAAAGATCGTCGTACACATTATATCGCTATATTATCACTCTTATACCACGAAGAGAACGGTAAGTCGTCTTTAATGAGCGAGATTAAGAGGACTTACGAGATTTCGCCGAAGGGAGCGAAGGCTTCCCTCAAGGTCTGCGTCTCGATCTCCGGGCTCAGATCTCCTACGAATATGTGGTAGTGTTCTGGAAACACACGTAATACAATCGTCAGAGAATGATCTGCAGAAAAAAAGAAATGGCGATCGTTGCGACAAATTCTATTCGAAATCCTTGTCGCAACAAATATTTCGAAACGCAAAATTTATAACTAATCCCTGGCCTCACGATTTATTCCCCAGCTAATTATTCGAATCGTTTATAGTTGGTCATAGTAATTAATATCACCTTACAAACACAGTACTTAAGTTAGAAATGGAAATCAAGTTCGTTTTATAATTCCTGTTTATTTTATTATCGTTATTATTTCTAAATAGAAGAGTTTTGATAAATTAACTTTCGCAACAATTCCCGCCATTACGGTGGAAACAAAGCGGTAATATTATTCGAATCGTTTATAGTTGGCCATAGTAATTACTATCACTTTAAAAATACAGTAATCAAGTTAGAAATGGAAATCAAGTTCGTTTATAATTGCTGTTTATTTTCTTATCGTTATTATTTCTAAATAGAATAGTTTTGATAAATTAACTCTTGCAACAATTCCCGTCATTACGGTGGAAACAAAACGGCAACAGCGTTGCTCCGATGGCCACGTTCCCCGTTAATTTTCGTATTAATTTGGCTTCGGAATTGTAACAATTTCAACCGCGTTTTAAAACTCCAAAATCGGAAGCAAATTATTGTTTAGCCCGCCTTTAAATATTCAACGCAACGTTGCGTTATGGAGCCGCTGGAGCAACGGGCGAGCACGGAATTGAACGCGAGGGCAAGCATGTTTCCAGTGTTTCTGTTAAAACTGCAGAAGTAATTTAGCGTGGCTATTCCTGCCAGATACATTAAATAGTATTCCGACAATGTGCCCCGACTGTTCTTGCTTTGTTAGTCAGCCTGATAATGGAAGAAACCTTGCTTCGAACTTTGTTTCCTTAAACGGAATAATATTTCGTATCATTTAGCGTAACATTGGTTTGGACGATATTTTAATTGTAATATTGTGGGTGGTGGCATTACAATTGAAATTGAAGTGTCCAAAATTCAATAGAGTAGCTCCAATATCAGCTAGTGTTATGTGGAACAAGCTTCAATTCAACTTGAACCTCAATTACTTCAGAAACTCTCGCAAAACTTATTGCCAAAATGTCTCTGTTGTGCGCTGCGATTGTTCAAGCAAGAGGAGGTAACATGAGACAAAAATTTAAATTAAAGGTTTTAATTTTCGCATTTATTTAGTATACTTCCATAAATGTATATGTGGATGTATATAAAAAATAAATATCTTCCCATTTTTCCTGAGTTTTTATATGATTTTTGCTTTTACTGAGAGTGCCTAAACACTTATGAGCGATAGTGTATATATTGAAATTTATTAATATTCAGCGAACGAAAAGATTTGGAAAAATAGAAACTATAGGTTAATTGCAAATAATTGAAAGCATTTTTCGGGAATATATAAATACCGAAAATAAATTAATATCATTTAGCTCAACATTGGTTTAGACGAAATTTGAATTGTAATATTGTGGGTGGTGGTATTACAATTGAAATTGAAGTGTCCAAAATTCGAAATTCAACAGATGGAATAAATTTTTAATTTAAACGTCATTCTACTTTCTACGTATATATTGAAATTTATTAATATTCAGCGAACGAAAAGATTTGGAAAAATAGAAACTATTGGCTAATTGCAAATAATTGAAAGCATTTTTCGGGAATATATCAATATCGAAAATAAATTAATATCATTTAGCTCAACATTGGTTTAGACGAAATTTGAATTGTAATATTGTGGGTGGTGGTATTACAATTGAAATTGAAGTGTCCAAAATTCGAAATTCAACAGATGGAATAAATTTTTAATTTAAACGTCATTCTACTTTCTACGTATATATTGAAATTGATTAATATTCAGCGAATGAAAAGATTTGGAAAAATAGAAACTATAGGTTAATTGCAAATAATTGAAAGCATTTTTCGGGAATATATCAATATCGAAAATAAATTAATATCATTTAGTTTAACATTAGTTTAGACAAAATTTGAATTGTAATATTGTGGGTGGTGGTATTACAATTGAAATTGAAGTGTCCAAAATTCGAAATTCAACAGATGGAATAAATTTTTAATTTAAACGTCATTCTACTTTCTACGTATATATTGAAATTGATTAATATTCAGCGAATGAAAAGATTTGGAAAAATAGAAACTATAGGTTAATTGCAAATAATTGAAAGCATTTTTCGGGAATGAATTAATATCGAACGAGAGAGAAGAAAATACATAATACAATACCGCAATACGAAATAGTTCGGTTCGAATAATCCCAGCTACGATACCGAACGTGCCATTGTAAACGAACAGTTAATATTGTAGACAAACATGTATCTCGAATTAAATTTATTACCGGGGAGAAATATAAAATTGATTCCCAAATAAGCCCAGCGTCCATACCGGTGTATTACAACGGAATTAGATCATGTGGGATGCAGCGGCGAATAAAATTAATGGATTGCAGTTGATATTAAATTAGGTGACAATGGCCATTAATCTGCTCCCGAAAACGGCAGTACAAATAATCGGGGCTGTACGCGATTATCCAGCAACTCAAATACATTATCGAGACGGAATTCGAGGAGTTAGCATAAACGGCCCAGAGATACTGTTGACACTGATTTTATCGATAAGCTATCGATTACTTTTTCTGCAGCCGTTTGTGTCGGAAAATTTTTAGGCATCGAATCACATTTACTTTTCTGGGATATACATTTACAGGAAACTATTTCGCTTGTTATTGGCACGAACGAAGTATACGAGTGGACTTTACATCCACTGTATCTTTTCGGCCCATTTTTCTCGGGATCTAGAGCCCCATTACCAACAGGTTACAGAAATGAGCATAAGAGGAAGTGGGACGGAAAATGAGATTGCAGAAATTTTATTGTTTTTTAACGGAACGAAAGCTGTACGGTCCAGAATTGGGCATCGATCGTTTAATTCCATTGGAAATATAAAATCATTCTATTTTACGTATACATAAATGCATTCGTCCCCTTACTTTGTTCTTGTATTTAATGTCGCTTGTTGTATGTGTTATGGTCTTATACCCTCCTTCCCTAACTTTCGTAACCGAAAATAATATTTCCAGAATGATTTGAAATTTTTTAGTTTCGCCGCAAAGTTTGTCCATCTACCGATTTCGTAATGAATTTTTTTCTCGACAGTGCGTAGGATTTCGAGGGTATGTGAATTTACCAAAAATGATTCTAATTGACCCCTACAAACAAAAATAATTTTTCCAGAATGATTTGTAAAATTTTTTTTTCGCCGAAAAATTTAAGCACCTTATTGATTTTTCTTAAAAATTCGTTTTTCATTTTTAATAAAATTGTTTGACATTCTACGGAAATTTTGTTTAGTACCTTTTTGTAGGTATCCATGAGCTCTACTTCCAGACTAAATTTCAATGAGATCCATCGACTATTGTAGAAGTTATGGCCGTTTGAACAATGGACCACTTTTATGGGGGTTTTCTCATTTTACGGGGTTAAGAGACACCTTTTCCAATATTCTTAGAATTTCTACATATTGTCCATTAAGATACGCGTGGTTTGCCTTTTTAAACATTAAAATCCTTCAATCCGTTCAAAAGTTATGATGTTTTAAACATACACATGAATTTTCAGTAGAACGTCTAAACGATTGGGCAGGCATGAAATTTTAGGTAATGAATTTTTCTCTCGAGACTGTGTAGGATTTCGGGGGTATATTTGTCTACCAAAAATGATTGCAATTGACCCCCGCAACCGAAAATAATTTTTCCAGAACGATTTGAAACTTCTTTTTCGTCGAAGAATTTCAGCACCTTCTCGAATTTTTTTCTCGAAAATGCGTAGAATTTCGGAGGTATGTGCAATGACAAATAATGATTGTAACTGACCCTTGCAACAGAAAATAATTTTTTTAAAACGATTTGACAAATTTTTTTTCGCCGAAAAATTTCAGCACCTGCCCGATTTTTTTTCTCGAAAATGGATAGGATTTCGAAGGTATGTGTATTCACCAAAAATGATTGTAATTGACCCCCGCAACCGAAAATAATTTTTCCAGAACGATTTGAAATTTTTGAATTTAATCGTTAATAACTTTTTAACGATGCCTCCATCAAAAAATTGGTATTCTTGATTTGCGTCTTATTTTGGCTCCTAGAATCTCCCATTAAAATTTTTCCCAGGGATGGTCGAACACCCTGTATATAATGTAATATAATAAGTAGAAACGATTAGTTTCTTTTCAGCACGGGGAACGAAGATCCGTCAACGTCCCAAAGTCTGGGAAGGATCGAATCCCTGGGGGTTCGAGAAAGTCGCATACGATTGTAAAACCATATCCAACGAAAAAACGGGTTACGGTACACACAGAATGGTCGCGTGTCAGCTGTGTGGTGACCCACATTTCCCATCGTGGAACGTAAGCTTATAGGCACCACGTGTGCACCGATGCACCGCGAGGTCTGGAAGCGACCAACCAAACCGAGATTCGATTCTGTTCAGCCCGGTAGGTTTTCGTCGCACGAAGAATTAATAGAGGTCTCTATGTTGGTAGCGCGGCTTCCATCCCGTGGCCGTGGCTTTTCCATTCCCTTCTGCAGAAGCGTGCGTGCAGCTCGCCCTCCCGCAATCCTCCTAAATCAACGTTTTACCGTTGCCTCGCGAAATTAAGAAAATCCTTGATCTACGAGCCATCCCGCGCTCGATCCCTGATCTATGGAATTGCTTGGACTTTTATGCGTCTCTCATCGCATTGTCCTGCTTGAATAGATCTGATTTCTGTCCTGCTAGAATTCCATTCTTGCTCCCGCCGTATAGAAATGTCCCGCGACGTCCGATGGAATTGTATTATACGAATTTTCTGCGATGCATATTGCGACCCAGAAACCCTCCGCCCGAAATTGCCAGTTTATCTTGCGGAGTTGACCCGACGTTGTTTCGATTTTTTTGTAATTTCTGATCCGATGGCAATAAAATTCT